TGTTTGAAGTTAGCGTTTAAAAGTTTATATAAATGTATGATAGAATACTTTTGCCAGTTTTTGTTTTTTGTTTTGTATTTAATTATTTGTATTTAATAATAATATATTTGTTTTTCTTATATATATATAATATAGTTGTTTTTCATATATATTAAATATATTTGGTTTGTTATATATTGAATATATTTGTTTTGTGGTGTGTTTGATTGCTTTATTATACATCCTTCTCTCATTTAACTGAACCAATGGTATTATTTATTTTGTTTCATGTTTCATTTTCAGATTTTCATATTCATCGCTTTATCAATAAATGGAAATACAATATCAAGTATGATATGTAATAGTTGAAAAAGGGTTTAAAACGCTGTTCGAGTCAATACGATTTGGAAAGAAATTGAGTCTTTGCCACAAGCTCAAATTTTCTAATCCCGATATCTTTGTAACCTAACATTTCGAACTTAGGTTATTTGACCTAATAGATTTCATAGATTGAAATATCTAAGATTAAAGACATTGGGTTTCAAGGATAAAGGGCTTAGAAAATCTGAGTTTGAGGCAAAAACTCAATTCCTTTGCTTAAAATTTGTATGAATATGAAAAACAGCATGTTACAATGTAATGATTTTTATCTTGATTTTTTGCTTGTAAACATTTAGGGATAAAATTTACACTTTACATGGACAATAAGATGAAAACTAAATGTTTAATGATTTGGTTTTATATCAGAATATGTAATCATTTTATAAATAAACACTAATTTTCTGATCCCTATTCCTTTTAAAGCTTATTGTGTATACTTTTGAAATTTTAAATTTTGATTATTAGATTTAGCCGAATATTAAAGGTTAACAAGATCATATTACAAAGATATATAATTACCGTATTTGATAAGATTTTCTTCCAAGTTTCATTCTTAGTTCAGATATAAACGAAGATCATAGAAATTCTAAAATTATGATCAGTTGATTTTTTATCAAATAAAACCATGCTGTACCTGTGCATGCCTTTTTCAACATACTTTTATTTTGAGATATCAATATATATTTATTAGTTTGGACCTCGTACAATTAGTTACTATTTTTCTTTTTATTATAAGCTCTATAACAGTAAATAGATAGTTCAAATGAACAAAAATATATAGTTCAAATGATCGCTAAAAAATAGTTTGAACGATATCTTTTTGATTCATTTAAAAATATTTTTTTTGCTCATTTGAACTATTTTTTTCTTATTTAAACTATTGTTTTGCTCATTTGAACTATTTTTGTTTATTTGAACTATCTTTTTGATCATTTAAACTTTTTTTTTGCTCATTTGAACTATTTTTTTGCTCATTTGAAAGATATGGTTTGGTTAATCTGAACTTAATTGTAATTTGCTCATTTTCAAACTACTTTTTTCTCATTTGAACTATTAAAAGCTTCATTTGAACTTTTTTTTGCTCATTTGAGTTATTCTTATGTTCATATGTGAAATATTTTTTGATCATGTAAACTTTTTTGTGATGATTGTTTGACCTATATTTTTTTCATGAAATATATAAATTTTAAACTGCATATACTAAAACCAAAACGTTTGCATTCAATTTCTTACATAACAATTCTCTTTAAAAAATCATAAAATATTTTTTAATTCTAACTTAAAAATGCATTTTTGTGCAGTTGAGGTTGAATATATTGACTCTTAGAAAATTACTTGGTATGAAATTTACGAAAATATACGTATTTTTAGGTTTGCATCAAACTTTTAAACTATAAAAAATTTGTTAAAAGTTTGTAAAGAAAAAACCGAAAAAGTAAGTAAAAATACGTAAAAGAAACCTAAAAACGTAGAAAAATTACTTGGTATGAAAACGCAAATATAGGTAATTTTAGGTTGGCATCAAACTTTTAAACTCTAAAAGAAAAACAATTTTCTAAGTAAAGAAAAACCCCAAAAAAGTACGTAAAAATACGTATGATAAAAACCTAAAAACTTACTTGGTATACAATTAAAAAAAATAAACGTAATATTAGGTTTGCATCAAACTTTTAAATTCTAAAAAATACATGTTTTTAAGCATAGAAAAAAACTAAAAAATACGTAAAAATACGTAAAATAAAAACCTAAAA